AGGTCATTCATTACTGTCTTCATGTCATTTACCATCAAGGACAATGAATTGATTGTAGATATCAGACTTGTTATTGAATTGAATTCATTATTCTCTCTTCTTTCGAAAATGTTGCTCCGTGACCATCAACACACTATATTTTTGGAATCAGCTTGTCGAGATCTACGTCCCTGAATTTTTTCGCAATTTTTAGACAACTTTTTTGAAAGTGAAAATTTTCCAAGGGTCCCCCCTTCTTCACGTTTCGGCCAAATTTTGACATTTTCGAACTTAACTAAACACATTTTCTTGTAGATTTCGAGCTCTAGAACTCATTTCCGGAATCATTTCTTTGATAACTGCAACCGTTTTCCCGGAATCGACCGTTGAAATATAGAGATTTTTAGAAATTTTCAAAAATTCGCATTTCCTACCGATTCTTTCGAAAATGTTGCTCCGTGACCATCAACACACTATATTTTTGGAATCAGCTTGTCGAGATCTACGTCTCTGATTTTTTTCGCAATTTTTAGATAACTTTTTTTTTAAGTGAAAATTTTCCAATGGTCCCTCCCCCCTTCTTCACTTTTCGGCCAAATTTTGACATTTTCGAAACTTAACTAAACACATTTTCTTGTAGATTTCGAGCTCTTGAACTCATTTCCGGAATCGTTTCTTTCATAACTGCAACCGTTTTTCCGGAATCGGCCGTTGAAATATCGAAATTTTTAGAAATTTTCTAAAATTCGCATTTTCACCGATTCTTTCGAAAATGTTGCTCCGTGACCATCAACACGCTATATTTTTGGAATCAGCTTGTCGAGATCTACGTCTCTGAATTTTTTCGCAATTTTTAGACAACTTTTTTTTAAATGAAAATTTTCCAATGGTCCCCCCTTCTTCACTTTTCGGCCAAATTTTGACGTTTTCGAAACTTAACTAAACACATTTTCTTGTAGATTTCGAGCTCTTGAACTCATTTCCGGAATCGTTTCTTTGATAACTACAACTGTTTTTCCGGAATCGGCAGTTGAAATATCGAAATTTTTAGAAATTTTCTAAAATTCGCATTTCCTACCGATTCTTTCGATCATGTTGCTCCGTGACCATCAACACACTAAATTTTTGGAATCAGCTTGTCGAGATCTACGTCCCTGAATTTTTTCGCAATTTTTAGACAACTTTTTTTTAAGTGAAAATTTTCCAATGGTCCCCCCTTCTTCACGTTTCGGCCAAATTTTGACAGTTTCGAAACTCAACTAAACACATTTTCTTGTAGATTTCGAGCTTTAGAACTCATTTCCGGAATCGTTTCTTTGATAACTGCAACCGTTTTTCCGGAATCGGCCGTTGAAATATCGAGAGATTTAGAAATCTTCAAAAATTCGCATTTCCTACCGATTCTTCCGAAAATGTTTCTCCGTGACCATCAACACGCTATATTTTTGGAATCAGCCTGTCGAGATCTACGTCCCTGAATTTTTTCGCAATTTTTAGACAACTTTTTTTTAAGTGAAAATTTTCCAATGGTCCCCCCTTCTTCACTTTTCGGCCAAATTTTGACGTTTTCGAAACTTAACTAAACACATTTTCTTGTAGATTTCGAGCTCTAGAACTCATTTCCGGAATCGTTTCTTTGATAACTGCAACCGTTTTTCTGGAATCGGCCGTTGAAATATCGAGATTTTTAGAAATCTTCAAAAATTCGCATTTCCTACCGATTCCTCCGAAAATGTTTCTCCGTGACCATCAACACGCTATATTTTTGGAATCAGCTTGTCGAGATCTACGTCCCTGAATTTTTTCGCAATTTTTAGACAACTTTTTTGAAAGTGAAAATTTTCCAATGGTCCCCACTTCTTCACTTTTCGGCCAAATTTTGACATTTTCGAAACTTAACTAAACACATTTTCTTGTAGATTTCGAGCTCTTGAACTCATTTCCGGAATCGTTTCTTTGATAACTACAACTGTTTTTCCGGAATCGACCGTTGAAATATCGAGATTTTTAGAAATCTTCAAAAATTCGATTTCCTACCGATTCTTCCGAAAATGTTTCTCCGTGACCATCAACACGCTATATTTTTGGAATCAGCTTGTCGAGATCTACGTCCCTGAATTTTTTCGCAATTTTTAGACAACTATTTTTTTAGTGAAAATTTTCCAATGGTCCCCCCTTCTTCACTTTTCGGCCAAATTTTGACTTTTTCGAAACTTAACTAAACACATTTTCTTGTAGATTTCGAGTTCTAGAACTCATTTCCGGAATCGTTTCTTTGATAACTGCAACCGTTTTTCCGGAATCGGCCGTTGAAAAATCGAGATTTTTAGAAATTTTCAAAAATTCGCATTTCCTACCAATTCTTTCGAAAATGTTGTTCCGTGACCATCAACACGCTATATTTTTGGAATCAGATTGTCGAGATCTACGTCCTTGAATTTTTTCGCACATTTTAGACGACTTTTTTTGAAGTGAAAATTTTCCAATGGTCCCCCCTTCTTCACTTTTCGGCCAAATTTTGACATTTTCGAAACTTAACTAAACACATTTTCTTGTAGATTTCGAGCTCTAGAACTCATTTCCGGAATCGTTTCTTTGATAACTGCAACCGTTTTTCCGGAATCGGCCGTTGAAATATCGAGATTTTTAGAAATCTTCAAAAATTCTCATTTCCTACCGATTCTTCCGAAAATGTTTCTCCGTGACCATCAACACGCTATATTTTTGGAATCAGCTTGTCGAGATCTACGTCTCTGAATTTTTTCGCAATTTTTAGACAGCTTTTTTTTAAGTGAAAATTTTCCAATGGTCCCCCCTTCTTCACTTTTCGGCCAAATTTTGACTTTTTCGAAACTTAACTAAACACATTTTCTTGTAGATTTCGAGTTCTAGAACTCATTTCCGGAATCGTTTCTTTGATAACTGCAACCGTTTTTCCGGAATCGGCCGTTGAAAAATCGAGATTTTTAGAAATTTTCAAAAATTCGCATTTCCTACCAATTCTTTCGAAAATGTTGTTCCGTGACCATCAACACGCTATATTTTTGGAATCAGATTGTCGAGATCTACGTCCTTGAATTTTTTCGCACATTTTAGACGACTTTTTTTGAAGTGAAAATTTTCCAATGGTCCCCCCTTCTTCACTTTTCGGCCAAATTTTGACATTTTCGAAACTTAACTAAACACATTTTCTTGTAGATTTCGAGCTCTAGAACTCATTTCCGGAATCGTTTCTTTGATAACTGCAACCGTTTTTCCGGAATCGGCCGTTGAAATATCGAGATTTTTAGAAATTTAAAAAAAAATCGCGTTTCCTACCGATTCTTCCGAAAATGTTTCTCTGTGACCATCAACACGCTATCTTCTTGGAATCAGCTTGTCGAGATCTAAGTCCCTGAATTTTTTCGCAATTTTTAGACAACTTTTTTTTAAGTGAAAATTTTCCAATGGTCCCCCCTTCTTCACTTTTCGGCCAAATTTTGACATTTTCGAAACTTAACTAAACACATTTTCTTGTAGATTTCGAGCTCTAGAACTCACTTCCGGACTCGTTTCTTTGATAACTGCAACCGTTTTTCCGGAATCGGCCGTTGAAATATCGAAATTTTTAGAAATTTTCTAAAATTCGCATTTCCTACCGATTCTTTCGAAAATGTTGCTCCGTGACCATCAACACCCTATATTTTTGGAATCAGCTTGTCGAGATCTACGTCCCTGAATTTTTTCGCAATTTTTAGACAGCTTTTTTTTAAGTGAAAATTTTCCAATGGTCCCCCCTTCTTCACTTTTCGGCCAAATTTTGACTTTTTCGAAACTTAACTAAACACATTTTCTTGTAGATTTCGAGCTCTAGAACTCATTTCCGGAATCGTTTCTTTGATAACTGCAACCGTTTTTCCGGAATCGGCCCTTGAAATATCGAGATTTTTAGAAATCTTCAAAAATTCTCATTTCCTACCGATTCTTCCGAAAATGTTTCTCCGTGACCATCAACACGCTATATTTTTGGAATCAGCTTGTCGAGATCTACGTCCCTGAATTTTTTCGCAATTTTTAGACAGCTTTTTTTTAAGTGAAAATTTTCCAATGGTCCCCCCTTCTTCACTTTTCGGCCAAATTTTGACTTTTTCGAAACTTAACTAAACACATTTTCTTGTAGATTTCGAGTTCTAGAACTCATTTCCGGAATCGTTTCTTTGATAACTGCAACCGTTTTTCCGGAATCGGCCGTTGAAAAATCGAGATTTTTAGAAATTTTCAAAAATTCGCATTTCCTACCGATTCTTTCGAAAATGTTGTTCCGTGACCATCAACACGCTAAATTTTTGGAATCAGATTGTCGAGATCTACGTCCTTGAATTTTTTCGCACATTTTAGACGACTTTTTTTTGAAGTGAAAATTTTCCAATGGTCCCCCCCTTCTTCACTTTTCGGCCAAATTTTGACATTTTCGAAACTTAACTAAACACATTTTCTTGTAGATTTCGAGCTCTAGAACTCATTTCCGGAATCGTTTCTTTGATAACTGCAACCGTTTTTCCGGAATCGGCCGTTGAAATATCGAGATTTTTAGAAATTTAAAAAAAAATCGCGTTTCCTACCGATTCTTCCGAAAATGTTTCTCTGTGACCATCAACACGCTATCTTCTTGGAATCAGCTTGTCGAGATCTAAGTCCCTGAATTTGTTCGCAATTTTTAGACAACTTTTTTTTAAGTGAAAATTTTCCAATGGTCCCCCCTTCTTCACTTTTCGGCCAAATTTTGACATTTTCGAAACTTAACTAAACACATTTTCTTGTAGATTTCGAGCTCTAGAACTCACTTCCGGACTCGTTTCTTTGATAACTGCAACCGTTTTTCCGAAATTGACCGTTGAATAATCGAACAACGATTAGGCAACCAGTAATACTAACACAATCCGTTTCTTTTCAAAATAAGTGTTAGTAGTAACAGTAAGCATACAAAGTGTCTGAAAAATATATGCACTTTTGGTAAAGTTCGTTCGATAAAAACAATCCAGTCCATTGTAAAAATTATTTATTTATTAGTGTCGAATCTCATCTATAAAACTTCATACTGACAATAAAATGTACAAGTAAAATTATATAACATCTCTATTTTTCCTTAAAAACAAACCTTTAAATTTCCATAACTTATAAAACAAGTTAAACCTTCCAAAGCTAAGTCTTTAATTTAAAGCGTTGCCTCCCTATATTACGTTATGTACAAAAGTTCAGTTTTTAAAACTTAACACCCGTGGACGGCAAGCAACTTTATCTCTTATGTACGGATACAATAAGCGCTTGAAACAGTCCACAGCCGTCACAAACAATTTACAAGTCATCGAGTTCGTTGCCCGAAGTTTCACCATAACCATAATCCAATTCTTCTTCGTCCACATCCTCCTCCACTTCGTCGCTCAGGTCGTTCAAGGAGCACTCACGACATCTGCTCTCATTTATCCCGTAGTTTATGCAGTTTTGGCCAATGCACTCGCAGCACCCATCGTGGAACCATCGGTAGCTGCTGGAACCCATGGTCTGGCAACTAGTTTTACACTTCACCCAATTCATGCACCCTTTGAGAAAAGCCACTGTACAGTTGAGAGTGATTATGTTGCTTTTTATAGGGGCTACTTCTTGTTCGGCGCTTTCTAAAATCAAACATGTACATCCAATTAAGTATATTTGGTTGCATATTTACGCATGTGTATTTTGATTTCGCGTTTTGTACCATAATGACTCGCATCTATGTCTATGGGAAACGTTGTACTATTCCAGCGCATCTCTGGATCTGGGTATTGGGTCAGGACGTCGAAGAGTCCTGGAACGGGTTCCATGAAGTCTTCCACGTGGGATTTTTTGCTGAGGGGACTTTCGTTGATTTCGTGCGACTTGGGGCACATGTCTGGGTATAAATACAACGTTAATTTGATGTTAAAAAGCAAGAAAGCGGTGAGCCGGATATTTCATTTAAACTCACCTACACAAGAACAGCATTCATCGTATAGATAACTCAGGCAGCTGAAGCAGTCCTTGCAGCAAGTACAGTTTTTTAAGTCGCATTTGCAGGATTGCGTGAGGAGGCATTTGCTGACGATGCTTCCGCAGACTGCTTCGTTGCAGGTGTGGATTTGCTGGATGATGAGGAAAGTTCCTAAAATGACACTGAAGAGGGCTAACTTCCACATTTTGGGTTAGAGCTGTGGAAAAAATAATTGTAACAATGTCAAGTCGAAACAACTATAGTCGAATTCTTTCGAAGTATAAACATAAATACTCGAAGTTAACCATGTAATTATTGAGAGTTCATTTTCCCGTTGGTTATTTGGTTTAAATATATGTTCCTCGGCGCAAGGGCTGCGGGGAATATTATTTACGCCATTGATTTTTACTATTTTACTTTATTATAGGGGTTATCACGAAACAAAAATAGCCAAATCAAGTTTCATAAATTTTAAAGTAGTGAAATGGATTCTATAATTAAATTAAATAATTTCGTTTCAGGTTTAAAGTGGAAGGTGAGTGTTGTGATGTGCCCATGAGGAAGAAGTCTGCGAGAATCGGCGCGGAACGAAAGGAAATCAGGATTTAAAGGGTAAGTGTTACTATTAAGCTTTATGTATCGGTCTATTATTCAACGTATTGTGCCTTATTTCTTCAGTTCTTTTTTCCTAAATTGATATAAAAATACGGAAGTTAAGGGAGAAGTAGTTCTATCGTACACATCGTTACTTAACGACTTAATAAATAAGTTTGTTTCAACAAGAACTCAAACGTTAATATCTCGTCTGATATTTAATTTCAGAATTGTTTTGAAAACATTTTTGTATTTGGGACATATTACCTACAACTAAAAGAAGTTCATTAAACCAGTAAAACGTTTCAGACAATCATTTTAATTGAAAACAGTGGTTTTCAATGTTTGAGTTTATTGAGAAGTGTTTAGTGAAGTTTCGGTTTTATTAACTTTAGAACGTTCTTAATTTCCAAACATAGTGTAGCAGAGTTATTTTTATTAAACTTTCATTTCTTGTTTTCTTGACATTCCTTAGTTTATGGAGTGAAAATATCGATTTTCCGTTTCCGTCTATCTATTTGTTAGTGCTCAGAATTTATATTGTGATTCATATTTTTTTAAATCTGATCTACTTATTAAACCTGTGGAATGTTGACTTGCACCGTTTTTAAAAATTAGTATGTGTAAAGTTGATTTTAAATTCTTTGGTATTTTTCTTTGTGTACATAAAACGTGTTTTTTGTTGCAGTGGGTTCGTAAAGAAGATGAGGGAATTCGCTAAATTGTAGCTGAAAAAGAAGCCTAAAGGTTAGAATTTTGCATTAATTTTAAATTGAGTGTTGTTTTTTTTAACATTTTTTTTCTTTCGTGAAGGCTATTTTGATCGGTAATTTTGTCTTATTTTTGTTTTATCAACATTTTTTTGACGTCTTTTCGTTGCATATTTTGTAAGTACTTACTTTATTTAATTTTTATGCACCTTTTCTCTTATGGGTGTATGTGCAGACGATTTTTTCGTTTCGATTTTTCGTGCAGGAGAAAAAGAATTTTTCGGTTCTTGATTTATGTCACTTTTCTATTGTTTTTTATTTTTTTTAATTTTTCAATTTTTCAGTATGTGATTTTTCGATTTTTCAATGTTTCACTTACAAAGCTTTCGGTTTAATCAGTTTTCGATTTTTTAAATGTTTCTTCAGATTTCCAGTTTGCAATTTTTCGACCTCTCTTCATTTTTCAGTTTTTCGACTTACAATTTTTCCATTTTATTTTTTCCTGTTTTCAAGTTTTTATTGTCACAAATTTACAATTTTTCACATTTTTCATTTCTCGAGTTTTCATTTTACATTTTCTTGATTTTTTGGTTTCTCAATTTTGTTTTTTTTTAATTTTTCGTTTCGTCAGTTTTTTTCATTTTTCATTATGTACTTCAGTGTTTCAATTTTCAAATTTTCGATCTTCCTTTTTTCATATTTTCAAGTTTTCGTTTTTACTATTTTTTACTTTTTCGATTTCTCAACTTTTCGTTTCAATTTTTCGAGTTAAAATTTTTTGATCTTATTTTTTCGTTTTTGGTTTTTCAGTTTTTAATTTTAGGTTTTTTTAAATTACTTGTTTCTTCATTTCTCGATTTACAATTTTTCGATCTTACTTTTCTCATATGTATTTTCAAATTTTCGTTTTTGCAATTTTTCACATTTTCGATTTATCATTTTTTCGTACTTTCATCTTTTTTTTTTTTCATATATTCGCCTTTTCAATTTCTCAGTTTTTCGTTTCTTCAATTTGCAATTTTTCAGTTTTCGTTTTTTTAATTTTTCATTTCTTCATTTTTTCGATCTTTATTCGATTTAAGAATTTTTTGTTTTTTCACATTTTCGAATTTTCGATTTTTCGGTTACTTCATTTTTCGGGTTGCAATTTTTCGATTTTACTTTTTCGGCTTGCAAAATTTTTCGATTTTACTTTTTCGATTTAACAATTTTTATATTTACCATTTTTCGATTTTTTAATTTTTCGTTTCTTCAATTCTTCAATCTGCAGTTTTTCGATCTCACACTTTTTCGAATTTAAAATTTTTCGTTTTTACAATTTTTCAATTTTTCACATCTTAATTTTGTAGATGTTTCGATGTTTTATATTTTCGACTTTTCAAGATGAACTTTAAAATTTTTGTTTTTTCCAATTTTTCGATTAATCAGTTCCTCGACTTTTCAATGTTTCGTCAAATTTTCAATTTGGAATTTTTAGACTTCTCTTGGTTTTACAGTTTTTCGATTTTTCTTATTTTTTCCTATTTTCTAATTTTTGTCTCCACAATTTTTCAGCTTTTCACATTTTTGATTTCCTGATTTACTCGTTTTTACAATTTTTTGATTTTTTTGTTTTTCGATTTTTAACTTTGGATTTCGTCAACTTTTCGTTTCTTCAATTTTTCGATTTACATTTTTTTTAATTTTTCACATTTTTCATTTCACGATTTTTTATTTATTATTTCCCCAATTTTTAATTTTAGGTTTTTAAAAATTTTCATTTCTTAATTTTTTGAATTAAATTTTTTTTTGTATTTTTCAATTTTTAGATATTTCAATTTTTCCATATATCGTTACTTCAATTTTTCATATTCTCAAGTTTTGTTTTTACAATTTTTCGCATTTTCGATTTATCAATTTTTCGTACTTCCAATTTTTCTGTTTTTTATATATGTATTCGATTTTTCAATTTTCCAGTTTTTTATTTCTTCATTTTTTTCGACATTTATTCGATTTAAGAATTTTTCGTTTTTTCACATTTTCCATTTTTCAGTTTTTCGATTTCTCTAGTTTTTGATCTTTCAATTATTCGAATTTTAGATTTTCAATTTTCCGAGTTTTCGATTATTCGAATTTTCTATTTCTTTGTTTTTCCATTTTTGACTTTCCGATTTTTTGAAATCTTGATTTTCGACACTTCGGATTTTTGTTTTTGCATTTTCGATTTGCCAGTTTTGATTTTACGAATTTTGATTTTGGATTTTTCGAATACATATTTGGTTCATCGAATTTTTGGATTTTTCAATTTTCAATTTTTCGTTTCTTCAGTTTCTCGATTAGTTTTTTCAGATTTTCACGTTTTCGTTTTTACAGTTTTTCACACTTTCGATTTTTCAATTTCTCAGTATTTAATTTTTTTTTTTAATTTTGCTGCTTTTCAGTTTTCGACTTCTCAGTCTTTTATTTCATTTTTTTTTATCTTTATTCGATTTAAGAATTTTTCGCTTTTTCACATTTTCGAGTTTTCAATTTTTCGGTTATTCAGTTTTTGCGATCTTACTTTTTCGATTTAACAATTTTTGTAATTACATTTTTTCCATTTTTTCATTTCTCAGTTTTTAATTTTTGGTTTTCTCAATTTTTCGATTATTCACATTTTTTATTTCCCAGTTTTTCGATTTGCTATCTTTTGTCCTTACTTTTTCGATTTTACAATTTTTCGATTTTTCAGTATCTCATTTATTAATTTATAGATTTTTCAACTTTTCGCTCTAACTTTGTCCATTTTTTGATTTTGCGATTTTGCAATTTTTCCATTTGCGAAAAATCGGAAAGAGGAAAATTCGAAAAATCGGCAACAGGAAAAGTGTAAAATCGAGAAAGTGAAAGGTCGCAAAAAGAGGAAAATCGCAAACTCAAAAATATAGAAAAAGTAGATCGAAAAACTGTAAATTAACAAATTAAAGTAACAGAAAATGGAAAAATTAAAATATCTAAAAACTGAAAAATTGAAGAATCCTAAAATTAAAAGTTGAGAAACTGAAAATTCGAAAAGTTGAAACGAAAAACTGAAAAATCGGGGAACTGATAAATCGAAAAATTGAAAAATCAAAGGTTTGAAAGTGAAGAATTGAAAATGTGCAAAACCGAAATTGTAAATCAAAATATTGATACAGTGGAATTGAAGAAACAAAAAAACTTTAAAGAGCTAAAATTAAAAATTGAGAAGCCGAAAAATCGAAAAACTGTAAAAATGAAAAATCGAGAAATCAAAAATGTAAATGTTAATTGGAAAATTGCAAAAACAAAAACTCAAAAATACGACGAAAAGTTCGAGCTTAAAATTAAAAACTCAGAAACTGAAAAATTGAAAACTCGAAAATTCAGAAAGAGGAAAATTCGAAAAATCGGTGAGAGGAAAAATAGTAATAATGAAAACTTGAAAATATGAAAAAAGTAGATTGAAAAATTACAAATTAAAAAAATTAAAGTAACAAAAAATGGAAAAATCATAAACTTAAAACTTGAGAAACTGAAAAATCGAAAAGTTGAAGAAAGAAAAAGAAGAAACTGAAAAATCAAAAACTCGAAAATGCGGAAACAGGAAAATTCGAAAGATTGGCAAGAGGAAAAATGGTAAAAAAGAAAAGTTGAAAATATGAAAAAAATAGATTGAAAAATTACAAATTAAAACATTAAAGCAACAAAAAATGGAAAAGTTAAATATCAAAAAATTGAAAAATCGGAAAAATGTAAATCGAAAAATTGAAGGAACGAAAAGTTGAAGAATTCTAAAATTAAAACTTGAGAAACTGAAAAATCGAAAAATTGAAACGAAAAATTGAAAAACCGAAAGTTTGAAAGTGAAGAATTGAAAATGTGAAAAATCGAAAAATTGTAACATTTTTAAGAAAAAGTAAGAAGTGAGAAACCG